GGCCAGTGGGTGTGGCTGTGTTGAAAAGGACAGTCCCCGCGTGTAATAGTCGGCGAGGCCCCATTGCAGTCGGCTCCGGCCCGGGCTGATCTGACCTGGTCGGGTGGCCGCTTGCTGAACGCCGTTCCTGGGCGAAAGCCTAATGGTCGGGTTCGCAGGCTGTGCGACAGGTCCCTGCGCACCAACAGCCCCAGCCAAATGCCACTGACGGCCCCTCGCGTGTCCTGACCAGCACGGAGCCTCCCTTCAGCCTTCGCGGTCGGGTGAGGGGGCGGCGGGGCGCTCCCACAGCGAGGCTGTGGCCGAAGCAGTCCCCCAGGCCTCGCCACGGACCCGCGCTTCCACAGGACCCCCCGGGGACGGGCTGGAAGCACAGACAGAGGGGCACCGCGCAAGCCTCTTCTCAGGGGACACATCGCTTCCTCCCCTGGCCACGGGGTGGGCGCACTGGGCAACAGGGTGCCGGCTCAGGTCACGGTGGGTGGGGTTGGGGCTGGGCTTCGCCCGGGCTGGGCCAACCAGGGCCCTCCTCAGGGAATTTGAATTAGGGGTGTGTGTGTGTGTGTGTGTGTGTGTGTGTGTGTGAGAGAGAGAGAGAGCGAGCACGCGCACACCTGGATATATAACATCTATACATCCTCGGGGTCCTCTGCCCCTGATTGCAGGGCCCTGAGCAAAGGCAGGAGGTTGGGACGACCGAGAAGCCTGAGGTGTGGGTGGCAAAGGTGGTGGCTTTCGCAGCCTGTGTCCAGCCCTGTCGGGAAGCACAGCCTCGGTCTCCCCGGGTTCCCCCAGGCTCCCCTCGTCGGCCTCGGCTGCACCTGGGCCGGGGCCTCGGTCAGCGTCCAGAGCGTCCACCGGGGCTCCGGAGGGGGTGTCCCGTGTGGCACCAACAGTGTCTGCTGCAGCCACAACACACCGCAGGCCACACCTCAGCCTCCCTGGTCTAAGGAGCCCAGATCGGGGACCGAGCGGCTGGCCTCGCATTGGAGTGGCTGCGCGGGGGTCTCCGGGCATTTGCAGCTGGTCTGGTAGATCCGCCTCCCACTCCTCACCAGCGGCCTCCATCCGCGGGGGAGCGGGGCCCTCCTCTGCACTCACAAGTGAGGACCCAGCTTCCGAGCTGTGTGTCTGGTGCAGTGATTTCTACTTCATAGAAAACTCCCATGGGAGCTAAAAACCATGTATCTCTTTAAAAAATAAAGCCAATTGCCGGAATATTTCATGACGGAGAGGTCGTTTTCTTAGTTCCTGCCTCACCCAGGTTAGGGGGCAATGGCACATTTCTCATCCACGTGACCGGTTCTCGCCGCGCACGCTGTCCGCCCGGGCCTCCTGTGTCCTGGCAGATCGGTGCCCAGGGCCCCGGCTCTGACGAGCCTGCGGTTGTATCTGCGCGAGTTTTCCCTGCTATCTGTGGTTTGCGTGCCGGGCTCCCTCCCGTCTGTCCGCCCTGGCAGGTGCTCTCTGATTCGCGCGGGGAGGGGCCGTCTGCCTCCCGGGCCTCCCTCCCCGCGCTGATGCTGGGGGTCACAGCGCTCCCCAGAGGGGCATCCGGCCCGCGGGCGGGCTGAGACACCCCACAGGCTGCCTCTTGCTCAGACGCCGGGAGACCCTCAGGGTCTTGTTCCCATAGCTCAACACACTTCACGAAAAGAGGCCAGGAGGCCCCCTCTGCTGGTGGCAGCTGCCGTGAGAAAGCGCCCAGCCTGACTGATGAATATGATCAGCAGCAAATCACCATAGAATAGGAATTAGTCAGTGATGTAGATACGACTCTGTTGGTAGAATGTGCAGTAGACACAGGGCAGACCTTCCAGAGCAAAATGGAAAACTTTGAATGCTATAATTTACTAAAAAAAAAAGAAAAAAAGGCACAGAAAAAATTCAACATTTGCAAGAAAGAGCAAACTCAGGTTATCTACAATCCAATTTAACTTCTCCTCCCGTGATCTTAAATCGAAAGCTGGGTAGTGCGTTTGAAACATCAATTACTCGCTTTGGGGGCGGGAGACTCGTTTGTTCTCCAGGCTCGGGGCCAGCCCCCTGCGTCCTGATTGGCTGCCGCGCCCCCTGCACCTGTCAGAGGCGGGGAGGGCGGGGCTGGGCGGAGACCGGCGGGACTCACGGCTGCCGGTGGGTCTGCCCCCAGCTGCTCAGGGGCTACGGGCCTGCAGGAGGCGGGACGGCGGGTACAGGGAGTGGTGGGGCCTGTAGGAAGTTTGGTGACTGCTGCCTCGGAGGGGACAGCTGCTGTGTGCTGCCCGAAAGAGGCACACTGGTCAGAAACACGAGGTGCCGCCGACCAGGGGCTGCGCAGGGAAGGGCTACTCCCGTGGTGTGGGCCTGGCTCACCACCCCCCCACCCCACCCCCCACGCCTTTGTCTCCCTCGCGCTCTCCTTGGCCTGCGGCTGGGGTGGCTGTGCCTGCCTCACCTCCCCCGCCCCCTCTGCCCCCTGGCCCCCCGCTGTGGCGTGGGCGGCCATGCTGACCCACTGTTCTGCAGTCCCCCCAAGCCGCCGGGCGGTCCTCGCAGGCTGGGACTAGAGCTTCTGAGTCGCCTGCTGTGCGTTGGTCCCAAATGGAAATGAACTGTTTTGTCCTTGAACTTCTGTCTGCCCTGGGCCTGGGCTGAAAATAAAATCCAAAGGAGAAGGCATTTTGGGTGGTGAGCTTGAACCCGCGGCTTTGTTTCTGGCGCGTCCTCGTCCCTCCGGATCTGTGCGCCCCCTCACCCTCCATGCAGGCTCCCCTCTCTCCGTCCCCGGCTTGGAGGCCCCGCGCAGGGGCCCGGGGAGCACGCGGCCCAGTGCCCCTCCACCTGCTCGGGGAGCCGCAGGCGCACCCCTGCCCGCCCCTCCTTCACGTCCACGGGCTGAGCGTCAGGGCCGCTGGTCCCTGGGCCTGAGAGGCTGCTGTGGCCTCCTGCGGACCCGCACGATCCTTGGCCTCGGTCTGACTCCCATTTGGTTCTGCTCGGCGCCCCCCCCGCCCTCCACTGCAGGGAAGGCGCCCAGCCTCATCCACAGTTTCCTTCCCAGACACGCCTGGCCCCGGGGGGAGACCTCGGCCGTTCCTCCGTCTGCCCAGCAGCAGCGCTCGTGGGCGGGGGACGGCTGAGGGGGCCAGGTGTGAGATGGGAGGCGGGGGGCCCGCCCCCCGGCCCTGCAGCTGCCGGTCGCCGCGTGTCTCCACTCCACCTGGCACCGGTGAGGAGCTGTGTTCATCTCCGGCACGGAGGGCCCGCCTGCGACCTGACAGCAGCCTGCGGCAGTATTGACTGAACTGTGAAGAGAGATGATCCTTCTGGACAGACCCACTATCCACCAGACGAAATGATTAGATTTACAGCTCGATCGGTGCTGATCAATAGAAATGAAATGTGAGACAACTTAATGTATCCACCAGAGCAGCAGCCCCGCCTGTCAGCGCCAGGCTGGGGTCTCTGCGCAGGCGGGGTGGTCCGGAGGCGCCTTCCTCTGCTTTCCCCCGGTAGGTACCGCAGTCCTTGCCAGAGCAGGGAGGCGGGCCTGGCTATGGGGCAATATTGAGCCGCCCCAGAATATTGCGGAGGGTGGGGGCGGGCGGGGGTGCGGGAAGGGTTGTCCTCAACGTGCTGCAGTTCCAGCGCTGGCCAGCAGGGGAGGCTCCGCACACCGTGGACCCAGGGCTCCGGCCGGCCCCGAATTTACTTCCTGTGCTGATCGTTGCTGCTCGCTAGTCCTTCTGCCAGAGGGAAAGGAGGTCTGGGCCTCACACGAGCAACCGAGGGCCAGGGCTGGAAGTCACGCCGGCCCCTTCTGTGCACAGCTCGCTGGCCAGAGCCCGTCACTCGGACGCCAGGAGGCAGGGCGGTGTCGGCAAGCAGCCTCCAGGACAAGCTCGCAGGCTTGAAAACTCGCTGGGTTTTGAAAAAAGCCCCAAGACCAGGCTCTGGAATGCAACCCTGTCAGGGAATGAGGAACGGCAGCCCCCAGGGGTGTCTGTCTCTGGAAGACGTGGTGGCCTGCCCCCCACGCGCATTCAGAGGCTCAAAGACACGGGCAGGGGCCCAGGAGGGACGTGGAAGGAGGCCGCGGGTCAGCCCGGATTTCCCCTCCAACTAGAGGCGACTTTAGTCACGAACAGGAATACACTTGGGCGTACGGTCTCCACGCGGGCGAACGGGTCGGCTCATTGGTTTAAAAGGAGAAAGACGGACTCAGTGCCACCTCTTCCCAGTGAGCTCCTCTCCCGCAGGATCCGGCGGGGTGTCCTGTCACTCCTGGCTCCCGGGGGCCCCTGTCCGCGCGGGAGGCTGGGCCGGGTGGCCTCAGCCAGGTGCCCTGCGCTGTCCTTCGGCAGAGGGGGAGTGGGCCTCCTGGAACAAGACTGCCGAGGCGTCACATTCACACACGCCTGTGGGAAGCTTATTTCAAAGGCGTTTTTTTATTCAACTGTTATTCAGCAATATACAATACAGTGTGTAAACAAGTGTCTGACCTTGTTTCCAATGTTTATTTAAAAATAAATATTATTGACAGTGAATTTTAATTATGATAAGATGTATCTTTTTTTAATCAAAATGTCTCCAAAGAAATAATTTACTTTAATAAAAAAGGTAAGCCCCTGAAGGAAAAAAGTAAATGGAAAAAAAAATTCCTAAACACAATAATCTACTGAAAATAGTTTGCTTCGTCGGAAAGGCTGTGACCCAACGTTTTCACATTGGATCCTTCGCGATAACGGCTCGGCGGTTCGTGCAAAATGAAGACCTGGAGGTGAAGTTGGGAAAAGAAAAGACACAGAAGCAGAGGCCGCTGACCGCGGGCGCACAGCCCGGGCCGGCCCCCCCCTCGTTTGGACACCGGATGCGTTCCTGCAGGTGCTCTACATCTGCGTAACTTCCCCCAAACACGATTTATCTGTTTTCCACGCGGACTGGTCATGCTTCTCTCCGTCTCCGTCCACCGGCGACGCGGCCCTCGCCCCGGGCCCGGGCAAGTGGGGCGGCCCCGGTCAGGGCCCGGCCAGCAGGCCGAGGAGCCTGTGCAGCCCTAGCAGGAGCAGGGACAGCAGCGGGTCTGCGGCGTAGGTGCGGCCGGTGCCTGCGGGGGACCAGAAACGGCAGGGTCAGCGCGCGCCGCCTCCTCGGGGACCTGGCGACCGCGAGCAGACTGGCCCGTGGAGCGTCTGTGGCCTGGGCTCTGCGCGGGCTGCTAGGGGGAGGCTGTGCCGGGGCCCGCGTGGTCCAGCGGAGGGGCGCCTGGCCTCGGGCGGGGTGTGCTGGATCGGAGACCTGGAGTCCCGGCCGCCATTGCTGTTGAGTAAAGAAAAAGAACGCTCCCTTTCCAGCCCTTGCACCCAAGACTATGCTATGAAGTGCCCTCAGCGTTTAGGACCCCCCCCCGCCCACACCTCCTCCAGAAAGCCTCCATGATTGCACACACCTCCTCCAACTCCTGCCTGAACGGCACAGCTGGGCGCTCCCTAGCGCCCTCTCTCGGGTGCCCTGATGGTTCTGGGCCAGCCCAGGGCTTGGGGTCGCCGTGGGGAGCTCGGAAATCACAGGTGGGAGGAGGTGGTGGGGGGCTAGTGTCCCTGAGGAGTGGTCCAGGCACCATTCTGGGGGGAGGCCCCTCCCGCCCGGTTCTCCGGTGTGGTCGCTAACCTGGGTCCCTGGCCTGCCACCGGCAGGGCCACACGCGCCTTCCTCCGGCTCCCTGGGCTGCCTGCTTAGCTCTCCGTCTGTCTGTCGTGGGGGCCTCCATCTCTTGGAAGTAGAGGAAAGCCCGCCCAGGACCCCCCGGCTTCTCCCTGGAAGGCGGCGCTCCCCCAGCGTCAGTGAGGGGGGGAATGCACAAGCGGCCCGAACCCCGAGTGGCGCTGCTGCCCCGCGCTGTCGGGCCGCGCGCCTGCACCATCAGAAGACCCCCCGTGGGTGGACGGCCAGGGCCCTGGCGGGATTCACCTAGGCTCAGGCGCTCCGAAAATGGGGGGTCGCCGGCAGAGCGCTCCCCCCGAGCATGTGTGGCTTGCGGGCACCCAGACCTCCTGGCTCAGATCTTTGTGCTCCCAAAAACTCTGACCCGCAGGCGGCGCAGGTGAGACAGAACAGTCGCAGGGTTGAAAAGCAGGCGCGAGTGCCCTGGAACGCCAGACGCCCCAAGTACGCAGGGGTGGAAGGACGGCCAACGCGCCGGGAGCCAGGCAGGCGCAGCCTGCAGAGCCGTGCGCACAGCAGGCGGGAGGGGACGTGTTAACTTGCCTCCAAACACCGCCGACGGGTCTTTCCCACTGTGACAGTCTCACCTCCTCATACTTAAAAGGTTTAAAACTGCACCAGACTTTCAAAGACCCTGGGTGGAAGCAGCCAGCCTGCTGCTCTGTGCTGGGCAAGGCGGGGTCAGCCGGGGCTGGAGGGGCGGCCGGAAGGGTTAGAATTTGAGAGTCCAGCCGCTCAGTGTCTCCCTCCCCAGGTGCTGCCCCCTGGAGGGACAGGGACAGTTGTGCGTCCTGTGGCTGCCGGGCCCCCAGTCCCTGCCCTCGCTGTTCCCTGGGGTGAGCCCGGGCTGCCCGTCGCTGCCCCAGGCTCAGCTGAGGCAGGGTCTCCGCCCCGGCCCTGTCCCGATGCGCCTGTGTCTGGGAAGGGAGGCCACCGTGCGGATCAGACGCTAGGGGTCCTCCTCACCCTTGGCCTTTCCCAAGGAGGACCGAGAGCAGCCCTGGAGCCAGAGGCTCGTCTGTTGGGATGGGCTGGGGACTCGGGCGGCGGGAGGCCCTGCAGGAACCGGGGCCGGTTTGTTCTCGTTATCGGGCAAGTACCACCATTTGCTAATCACCGAAGAAACCAAGGCTGCTTGGCTCTGTGAGTGGTAACTCCCATGGTGTAGAAGGCGAGCAGGAGAAGCAGCCTTCCGAGGCCATTTAAGAAGCTCGTAGAGAATGCAGCACCTAGCCCCCACCGGGGGCGAAGGCGCCAGCCGGGGGCGTCTCCCTTCGCCCCGTAGGCACAGGTCCCAACGGCCGGTCAGAGCACAGGGACCCTCCGAGGCCGCGTGATGTCTCGTCATGGACGATGATTTGCTCCGGCCACCCCTTGGGACCCTTGCTCTGGCCACGCTGTCCAAAGGCTATGCCGGTGAGCCAGGTTCGTGGGGAGGGGGGATGCAGGGGTGGCTGCTGGGTACCCCCTCTGGCCTGAACTCCCACAGCCGTGCAGACCCTGAGGGGCCTCGCCCACCCTGGGAAGGTCCAGGACCCCCAGCCTGGGCCCGCATTCCCACTGAGCCACATGACAAGCTGCTCTTTTTAGAAGAGGTCCCCACGCGCTGCTCCCCCGCCCCCACCCAGGGCCCAGCCCCAGCGCCAGGCGCAGTCGGTCGGCCTCTCTTTGCCCGGCCTGCTGCCTTGTCTCTGCCGCCCAGCCTGGCCCTGGGGGTCGCTGCCTGAGCGCGATCTCAGAGCCAACTCCCGTGTCGGATCCAGGAGGCCAGGCCTTCGACCCGCCTTTGTCCCTGCGTTGCTGTGTGACGGTGGCATCCCTAGGGCCACCCACGCCCGGCCCACCCTGGCTCTCTGTGCTCCCTGGACGCTGCGCCGGGCAGGCCGCGCCGAGTGGGAAGGCGCCGCCTCGCGTGGGGGCTGCTCCCCTCGCTGGCGTTTTAATGAAAGCCTCTTCAGGGATATTGGTTCAGAGGGAGTCGGCGAGGAGTCATGGAGCTCCCAGAAATGGAGAGAATTAACTTCTGCCGTGAAATTGGCGTGTGCTGGGAACTAGGCAAAGGCAAGAAATGACAAATGCCGTTGGGTTTTAAAGGAAATGGAGCCATTTCAGAGCAAAGCTGAGTGTGAGGGGCGTGGCTGTGGGAGCACAGACGAGGCGTGGCCCCCGGGCCTGAGCTCGGAGCTCGGCCCCCGGCCGGCCCGCTGGCCCTCGGCCTTAGGCAGCTGCTCCCGGGACTGAGGACGAAGCTCTGGGCGGATGACGCCCACCGAGGCGGTACGTGTGGTGGGTGGGCACGGCGCCCTGGCCCCTACAGATGGAGCCCAGGCTCCTTCCCCGCTGGGCGCCCTTCCTGACCCCACCATGGGGGCAGTGGTGCCCGGCCCACCCCACCCCGCCTCCCGGCCTCCAGGCCTCGGCTCATGCTAGATGTGTCCTTCCCACAGGCGACCCCTGCCCTGGCCCTCGAACCTCCTCGCCGCCTCAGGGCTCCCCTGGGCACAGGCCACGGTCCTGCCCGGACCCCACATCCACTAATCCCCCAGGTGGGCACCCGCCCAGCCAGAGGCCACGGGCCCTTCGCAGGTGCAGAGCAGGCGTCATAGCCCCAGCCGGGTGTCGTACCTGCAGCGGGTCCCCGACACAGGCCGGCTGCGGGCCCCGGGCCCTCACGGCCCGGCCGCCGCTCACGGCCCGGACCCTGTGCGCACACACCTCTGCGCCTAAGCTCTCAAACGGATTCCGCTCCGCCGCCCCCGTTTCCCCTTTTCCCCACTTCTTCCCGCGAAAGATGTGTTCCGTCCGCACGCGCGGCTGTGTAAGCCACTCCAAATTCCTGCCGTAGAAATCGGCATGGATGCAGGGGTGTCCTATCTTTTGGCGTCTCTGGGCCACCCTGGAAGAAGAGCTGTCTTGGGCCCCACATTAAATACACAAACACTAACGAAGACAGACGAACAAAGCAAGGTGTGAGTAAATTCACGATTTTGCATGGGGCCACATTCATCGCCCTCCTGGGCCGCGGGCTGGACGCCCCTGGGCCTTCCCAGTAGACGCCGAATCTCTATGTTACAGATTTTTTTGAAAATATAAAAACATATATTTTTTATATATGCAGTAGATACTTAGCATAATTTGTACACTTATATATGTGTATATATATACATATCTGGCCTCTGTCAGTTGCTTTCGAACCCTTTGAAGCCGTACACCCTCCTTTTCAAGCTCACTCTGCCTGGAACCCCAATACTCGAAACCATTCGGAGAAGGGGTGCCTGTGCGGCTTCTGGGGGTGGGCCTGGCGGCCCAGGGTTCCTTAAACCTCCGGTGGAAGCCTCTCCCAGGAGGCTGTCCGGGGCCGCTCCCGACCTAAACGCGCGGGCGGGCGGGGCGCTGCAGTGCTGGGCGCCGACTTCTCAGGCCCCGCCCCTCCGCGCGGAGTAACGCCCCGTGGCGATCCGACGCGCCCCCGCCTGGCCTCTGTGTCCCTCAAGGCAGGCCGTGCCGCCTGCCCACCCCCATCCCTGGGGGGAGGCAGGCAGAGGGCCCTCAGTCAGTGCCTGCGCAATGGAGGCGGCTCGGAGCGCGGCCCAGGCCTCAGCCTCCTCGACCGGCTCCACAGGGAAGGCGGCCCGAGGCCTGAAGCCCGAGGCGCGAGGCCCAGGGGGAAGGGCCCGAGTCCCCTCGCCCCTTTTCCTCCCGCCTCCGCCTGAAGGGCGCCAGCATCTCTCTTTCTGTTTCCCCCTGAGGGTTTGTCTTTGGAAACACAGTTTAACTGGAAAGGTTAACGTAGCTTAATTGCCCGGGGATACTGTTCTGGAAACCCTCTAACAGGTGCTCATTAAATACAATTAGCGCCCAGGAGCTGCCCAGGAGTTGTGCAGGACCTGGCGCGGGCCAGCGTGACTCCGCAGATCGGGCCGCGTTATGAATTATTATTGCCGTCTGTGTTTTTGTTACATTAGTCTTTGCTGTGAATGCGGTGGTTCCTCTGCCCACCTGGAGGTTTAATTTGTTAAATGCTCGGAGAGGTGTGTCTACACTAACTTTTCCACGGATAATAATAACCAAACCCCAGGCTGGCTGCATCCGCCGCGTGCCTGGTGTCCAGCAGAGACGGGCCCCCCGCCCCTGCCCTCAGCAGGAGGGGCGCAGGCCGGAGCCGTCTGGGCCGAGCCACCAGCCCGGGCCTCCGTCCCGCAGGCCTCCTTCCTGGAAGACTCGGGCGGAGCAGACGGTGTTGGATGCGGGAGACCAGCCGGCCGCTGTCCGCAGCCCCGCCCACTCGTCCTGCAAAGCCCGACGAGGGTCCCGCGTGCGCACACCTCCCCACCCGTTTTGTCCACACACCCGCCCGTCCCTCCTTCCACCGCCGTCACCCCCTCTCTCCGCCTCCCCCCAGCCCTGTCCTCTCAGCCGTCCCGTCTCCCTCCACCCCTTCGCTCACCTGCAGCTACTTGTTTTTCTACCTGTCCCACTATCCAGGGTGCGCGCCCTGCCAGCTCTGGACGGGGTCACTGTCTCTAACGCGGTCTCCCCACATCCACTCTGGCCCCCACTCTCCACCCTGCACACCCCAGCCAGGGGACCCGCCTCCTCCCGCTGCCACGCCCGCTGCAGGAGGCCGCCTGCACAGCAGGGCACAGCGACCAGGCCCGCACGCGGGGCGGTGTCCGGCACCGGTGGGGCGCCAGAAGCCACGAAGAACTCGCCCTTGCTCCCTGAGAAGACGAGGTGACGTGGGAGGAGCTCTGAAACGTGCAGGCCCCGTGATCTGGCCGGGCAGCCACGCGCCTCCGGAAGCTGCAGCCACGGCTCACTGCCCAACAGCAGCAGCCGGACCCTGGCCCGGAGGAGGCCAAGCTGGGTGGTCCGTGGCGGTGTGACAGCTCGCCTGCCCGGGAGCGCCGACACCAGGGACACGCAGGGGCGGGGGGCGGGGGTGGCAGTTCCTGGGGCTGTTCCCTTTGCCTGTCACCTCACCACAGCCCTTGGTAAGACAAAGGGATATGTCTCACTACTGCAGATAAGTTTCCAAGAGATGCCCAGTGGCAGTCAGCAAAGCACCGGGCACAGGAAAGATGACACTGTTTCCCGCTGGTCTGCAAAGCCGTCTGCAAAGCCAGCTGCATCCCCTGCAAAGCTCAGGCCTTTCGGCCCTGGCCCAGCCCCCGCCTCTGTCCGCGAGGGGCAGAGCTAATCAATATCCTGTTCCAGAGGCACTTGACCTCGGTTGTCCCCACGGTGCTTGGGGAAGCCTCAGCGTTCAGAGCTCTTGGCACGTGCACCTGGCAGATTTAATGAGAAGCCTCCTGCTGGGTTCGGCTCCTGGTGACATTTGGAAAGGCTGGCTCCTCACGAGTCTCATGGGGGCCGGACCCCCCCCCCGGGGGAGGGCTCTGGGCCCAGGGCGGTGGGGGGACCGTTTGATGAAATGAGGCCAGAGCAACTGGGTAGAACTGCAGAGGAGGGAAGCCCGTGAGGCCCGTGCGTGGCACTAGGGAGGGGCCTGGTCAAGGCACCTGCTGTTTTATTACGCATCTTCCTTACGATCCCAGCACAGCGCTTTGGTCCTCAGTTTGGGGTCTCCCTGCTGCTGAATGGCTGTGCCATGACCCGACCGACCACTCAGTGCCAGACAAAGGCCACTCACACGATTTGGTCGGACTCCCTCATTCCATGAAGTACAGGGTAGGGGACGGGGGAGGCACGGCCTTCAGGAACTTTGCCAGGACTGACCTAGGCAGGAAGACGAAATCTCTGAAGTCACACCGCCTACAGGACGCCTCCTCCGATTGCCTCAGCTGGACAGGGGCTGACAGGGACGGCTCTGTCCTGGAGTCACGTGGGTGCCGTGACGCGCCTCGGCTGGGCACGTGGCCGCCTGCGCTGGTCCCCGCTCAAGGCGGCCCCGCTGGGGGGACGGTGCGGGGCTGGGAATCACCCACGTGGGTCGCGGTCGAGGGGCGGGCGCATCTCTCGCCAGTGGTAAGGCCCGGCCACGTCCTTTATAAAATCCTTTCCTCGTCTCTTTCAGGGGCTCCCTCTTCTGAGGCGACTCCCGCCAGCTTCGCCTTCTCCTTAATGAAGGTCCTCCAGCCACGTCAGAGTTTGGGGGAAGGGAACTGTTGATTTAAAGCGATGGTTTCAGGCCCTCGCGGGTCCGGGGCGATGGGACGGGCAGGTGCCACGCCAGGCTGCAGGACTGCCTCCGCCAGCTCTGTCACCCGCTGGGGACAAGGGTCCAGAGTGAGGGCCTTCACCTCGCGCGGGGGGGCCTGCTCTGCACGTGGTTTATGGTTGCCACGGCGACACCCAGGGGTGCTGCCCTCGATGGCTCCCCGCGGCGCCAGCGTCTCTGATGGCCGCACACCCATGGCCTGGCTGCCTTCGCCTGGCGGCCTGGCGGTAACTGAAATACGGAGACTGGCTCCCTCTGCGCGGCCTCCGGGCGCCACACCCGGCTGGCTCACTGTGGGGCCGGGGCCTCCCCTTGGAGCTGGTGCCCAGGGCTAACGAGAGGCCCGAGAGGCCCGCATGCCTCAGATCGGCGCCCCAGGCCCCTGCAGGGGGAGCCTCTTGCCAACGCGAAGCTATTTGGTTGCGAATGGTGTTCTCAGAGGTCGGGCTTGGCTCTGGGTCGGCAACCTTCCTGGCTTAAAGGGTTTGTCTGGGAGGTGCTCTGTTTTGTTTTTTCTCTCTTTTTTTTTTTTCTAGAAACAGCAACCAGCAACAAATTGCTCATGAAAAATAGGTCAGCACTCGGATTAATCAGGAGCCAGGTTTATGGACGTGGCTGAGAAGGGCCCAGCCTCCCGCGCCGCATCTGCGGTGCTCATCCAGGTTATTTTTCAGCGCCGATACCAAAATGTCTCTTGACAAATGAGATGAGAAGTGAATGAGCGCGCACAAACTTGGAGGGTAAAATACGTATCTGGCTGCTTTTGGCACACACGGGGCGCGGGGAGGGGTTTCTGACCAGGCTGTGTGGGACGGGGCTTCACGTAAGCGCCCCGCACCCCAGCACTACCTGAGGCGCGCAGTGGACAAGCAGAGCAACACAGCCTCGCTGGGACTCCTGGCTCCCTCCCTGCAGCGACTGCTACCCGGGGAGGGGGGCCGGGCCGGCCCCGAAGCGGCCCACCCGAAGCGGCCCACCCGAAGCGGCCCACCCGAAGCGGCCCACCTGAAGCGGCCCACCCGAAGCGGCCCACCTGAAGCGGCCGGGGCGGCCCGCGGGCCCAGGCCTGCGCCCACTTCTTCCCTGGGAACCCAGCCCTGGGTTTGTTCCGGGGTGGGGTGGAACCCGTCCTCCGCTCTCTGAAAGCTGGGGTGTTCCCTCAGTGCCCCCCAGGCCTACCAGCCACTTTCCTCCTCTCCTCCCTGAGCCCCGGGCCCCCCCGCACAGGCTCCGTCGCCCCCAGGCGCGCTTGCCTGCAGCTCCCCGTGGGAGGCCCGTGCTGGGCCGCGGGGGGCGGGCTGTGTCCTTCCACCGAGGCCACAGCTCCTAGCAGTCTGGCCTCTCCAGGTTCTGCCAACTGCCTCCGACTTCAGCCTTGGGGACATTTTCACGAGCGCTGCCCGGTTCCCTCTCCAAGATCGCTTCCCCACAGCACGTCTCTGATGAACGCCTGTAACGGTCCCCGTTGCCTCTACAGCTCGGCCCCCAACAGCCAGCCGTTCCGCTGTGTTTCCTGCATCTCCTGCCCGCCCGGAGCAGGCACGGACCGCGGGGACAATAGCGCGCACTCACACAGCATTTCCGCCCTGCGCCCCTCTGGGGTCCGGGACCACCCGTCTGCTCCCCAGATGGAGAAGCGCATTCAGAGGTGTTCAGCCACGTGCCCACAGTCGCTCAGCCAGGAGGCAGCGGGGGTTCCGCTCACAGAGCAGCCCTCCCGAGCCTCTGCTTTGCCCCGAGGGGTGACCCAGCTGAGACCCGCGCGTACTTGCTGGGGCCCGAGGGGATGGCGCACAGGGGCCTTTTCTCTGCCAACCAGCAACGGGTCAGCTCACCACCCTGCAAGTCGATGAGCACTCTTCCAGCGCACCTACTACGCGCTGGATGGACACGGCTCACTTCCCCGGGGAGTCACCCTCCCCTTTCACTGCCATGAGGCGAGGACTACATTTCCCAGCCTGCCTTGCAGCTACGCTGGCCGTCGTGACTGAGTTCTGGCCAGCGAACAGGGTGGGGGTTACATGTACCACTTCTCAGCCCTGCCGCTCTCCACACCAGCTTCTCCGCGAGAGAACACGGTCCTCCCAATGCGGCGGGAGCGGCTGTGTCCTCAGTCTCCCAGAAAAGTCAGGAGCTTGCAACTCCTCTAAGCGCTTAAGGAAAAAAGCAATGAACTGTATACAATGTAGCCTCTCCTCACTTGCGGTGGGTTGCAGGCTGGTGCCCAGGGTGACCCTGGAAGCCACTTGCTGGTGATGGCAGCGTCGCTGTCATCTGGGCCCCTGGATGACGGCCTGCAGCGGAGCCCCCGCACCCTGCAGTTCAGCACCAGACTCCACGTGAACCAGAAACAATACATGTCACTTGTGCTGGGCCGCTGGCACTCGGGGTGTGCTGGTCGCCGCCGCTAGCGTTGCCCCAGCCAGCTGGGGGCGGCAGCCCTGCGCAGGCCCCAGCTGACTCCCCGTGCAGCTTGGCCTGTGTCTCACTGAGTCCCCCCCGGGTGCCCACAAAGACACAGGCTACCCAGCCAGGTCTGCCCACGCTGCTCCGACAGACCCGCTCAGTGGGGTCATCCAGAGCACCCAGCCTGCACCTAGAGAAGCTCCCGCGCCCCAGCCCCCATGTCCACTGATGCGCCGCGGGAAGGCTTCTAGCAGCCGTCAGTAACAACGGATAACAGAGAAGTGACTCCCGGCGGCCTGGTGTGTGTCCTGGGGCACCCAAGTTACCAACTACTCCAGAACGCGCACGCAGATGACCCAGCGGGCCCATCCCTGGGCTCAGCCCACCCCCGTCCAAGGCGCCGTCCTGCCAGCTCCCCGCTCAGCGCCCCCTTACCGGAGCCATGCCTCTGGCGCAGAAGGACCGCCTGGCCGGGAGGCGGCGACGCTGAGGAAGCAGCAGCCGCAGCGCCCGCGGCGGTGCTGGTGGCGGTGGCGGCCGTGTGGGCCAGGGAGGCGGCAGTGGCCCCGGAGACTCCAGGGCCGGGGGCGGCTGGAGGGCTCCGGGGCGGCGGGGTCTTGTCACCGCGGCTGGGCTCGGTGGTGGTGTGGCCTGCGGCGCCCGTGGCGCCCACGTGGCTGACGATGGAGGCGCCCGCGGGGCTGTGGCGGCGCGGGCCGCTGCTCTGGATGTGGGACACGGCCTCCGCGGCCTGCACGTGGGGCGGGGCGAAGCGCGAGAGCACGCGCAGCAGCGCCTGGGCTGCGTGCTCCTGCGTGTCGTCGTCGCCGTAGTCGGACACGCGGCACTCGTACACGCCCTCGTCCTGCGGCCGCACGGCCGAGAGCCGCAGCCGGTGCGAGATGTCATTGCCCTGCACACGCACCGTCTGCAAGAGAGCGGCCTGGGGTCGGAGGCTGGCGCGGGGTGGGGCGGGCGCCCATGCCCAGGCCCGCGTGGCGCCCCAGCCTTCCCCCAGGAGCCGTGCCCGCGTCTCCCCCTGCCCCGTGCCTCCCCATGGGACTCCCAACTCTGGCTGGACCCAGGGAGGCCGCGCCCTTGCATGGAGCCCTTGGTTCCCCACCATCTTAACCGAAGGCGTCACCGGGCTCGGCCTTCAGTCCTGCCCCTCATCTACCGCACTGCCAGGTCTTTATTCTAGAATCTGGAGGCCCTGAGCGGTGTGGGCAGGAAGCCACCCGGCCCTCAGAGGGCGCACGTGCACCTGCTCATACCCCAGCCTTGCACAACAACCCTCCATCTTCCCAAGGGGCAGGGCACCCCGAGGCTGGGACTGGCCCCCCACCCTCTGCTACTTCTACTCATGAACCCGCCTCCGCCCGGTCAGCCCAGTGCTCCCAACAACAAAGCACGCACCCCTCCCCTGGCGTGCCGGGGACCCAGGGAGGCACCCGGTTTGTGGCCCTTGCCTTGCACGGAGGGAACCCTCACCTCTGAGCTTCGCTCAAGAGGGGGCTGCGACCGTCTCCAGGCCCGGAGGAGTGCGCACGGCGGCTGGGAAGCTCGGGCGCATCTCCTCCCTGAGTTACAAACCCCGCGACTCCGTGAAGCCTGGCAAGACTGCACCCCACGACCCCTGCGAGCCCACAGCACCTGGCACCTCGGCCTGGGGCCTGCAGCCCGGGAAAGGGCACAGGGCGTGTGGCGGCGGGGGTGGCGCCTACCAGCCAGAGCAGGGGCCCCGCCCCCGAGGAGCGGCCGCGCCGGTGACGCGGAGAAAGGCCAGGAGGGGACATGCAGGCAGACTGGCAAGGACTGCGGTGGACAAAGGAGAGCTTTACAGGTGAGCGCGGACGGGAGGGAGGAGAGTCAATTCTGGGACTCTCGGTTTATACAGACGGGAAACCAGTCCGGCGCCTGGCAACAGATGGCGCCCGGACGCGCCGAGCAGCCGCCAATGCAAGGCTGCAGGCAGGTGCCCACAGCGCGGCGCGGCCGCGGAGCCTTTCTAACGGGGAGGAGGCTGCGGCGCGCGAGGCTGCCACAAGGGGTCTCCCGCGGCCCGTGCGGGGCTCCACACTTACGCTGATTTTAGTTGCATCCTTATTTGTTACCTAAAATGCAAAGAGGGAGAAAGGGAGACGTTAGGCTCTGGGCCTCCAGGCCCAAGGAAGGCAGACGCGCCTTTGGCACGGGGCCCTCCAAGCCCTTGGCCGCGGCCGGGGCTGCTGCGTGCATGGGAGGGAGCAGGATCCCCCAGGAGGCAGGCGGGCGCCTGAGCGCGGTGTCTGAGCGCAGTGCCTGACCACGGGGCCGCGCGCGCCTGCGAGCCAAAGAGGGGAGGCTGGAGGTCACGGGGTGGGGGGTGCGCCCCTACCCCTGACATGTTCTTCTCAGCCTTGTGAGAAACGGGGTGGAGGGGCCGGCGTATCTGCAAAGGACGCCGTGGGAGACGTGAGCAGTAACTCCGGGGGGGCGTCGGGTGGAGGAGAAGTGTGGGTGCGCGTGCATGCGTGTGCCGGGGCGCACGGAGGAGGCTGTGGGGTGAGAGGCTCAGGGGCTGTCAGGCCCTCCCTGGAAGTGACCTGGGGGCTCCCCTGTGCATGGTGCTCTGTGGGCTGTTGGAATGCAGACCCCGGGGAGACTGGCAACTTGGCCGGGCGCCCTGAGGACCTCCGAGGGGCAGAGGGCAGGGGCAGTGGTCTCCCTCCAGCAGCCAGGCCCCGGCAGGCTCGGGGCCCGCAGTCAGCAATCAGGAGCCGGCGACCTGGACGAAACGCGGCGTTTCAGGGGCGAGCCGTGGACTTCCGGCGCGGTTTGGGGAGAAGCGGGGGAAAGAGCAGGATGTGGGGTTAGCAACGGCTGTCGGAGATGCCACGGGCCCGGGGGTGGGGAGGGGGGACATGGGCTGCCCGTGGGCGCGTCGCCCTGCTTTCCTGCCGGGGCCCAGGGGGGCCGGGTACCTGGCTCCGGGCACCCGGCATGCTGAGCGCCAGGTCCTGCAGCAGCTCCTGGGGCGGCTCCTTCAGGTACCACCACTGGATCTCCAGCGAGTACGAGGTGGCTCCGCGAGCCCGGAACGCACAGGGCATTTCGATGTCGTCTCCCTCTCGTACTGTCACATCTTTGGGGACTTCAGTAAACGTAGCTGGGGTTGGGGAAGAGAGAGGCGTGACCAACTGCGGGGTGGAGTGGGGGGGCCTGGGGCAACCCCAAGCGAAGCGCCTGGTTCCCGCTCGCAGGCCGTGTGCTTCCCCCCCTGTGGCTCCACGCGTGGCCCAGGCGCCAGCAAAGTTCGCTAGAGCCCTGCTGGGTCGCCGCAGCGACCGGCTACCGCCGCAGGCTGTTTCCCTCCGGGTCCTCCCGGGCGCCACGAGCGGCTTACGCCTCCGGCCGGCGCCCGCCGCACTACCCGAGCTGGGCTGGGGCGTGCCAGCTCCCGCGCCCTGCACATCACCTCTCCGCAGCTGGAGCCCCTGTCGCGCTCCGAATGACCCGGGCGTGCCGCGGTGGCGACCCTTCGCGGCTCTCCGCCCCGTACCCCTGCAGCCAGGCTGCACGCCGGGACGACTCCAGACCGTGAAGCTTTCCCCTTCTCTTCCTCCTCCTCCACCTGGGCGATTGGGGCAGGCTGGCTCTGGTGACCCTGGCGAGAACCCCCCCCGAGCCTCCGGGCAGCAAAGTTCCCGCGCTCACCGTCGGCCACGAAGAGCAGCAGCAGCGGCGGCAGGTATCCGAGGGCGCCGAGCTGGTTCCGCTGTTCCATCTCCCGCGGGGGGCGCGGCGGCGGGGCCCCGGGCGCAGAAAGGCGGCGGCGGCGGCGGCAGCGTGGGCTCGGATCCGGCTGGGGCTCGGGCTAGGACGCCTCGGAACCTGCCATGGCCCCGCGCGGCGCCCCCTCCCCCGGCCGCCAGCGGCCGCCAATCAGCCCCGCTCCCTCGCCGGCTTGCCCGGCGCGGCTCCGGCTGGGGGCGCTGCGCGGGGTGCGCAGAACGCGAGGTCCCGCCTGGGGCTACTGGCAATCGGTCTGTGCCTCCCTCTGTCCCCGCGTCCACAGGACTGTGGAGAACCGCAGGTTAGTCTTTGCCGGGCGGGCCGGGCAGGGGCTGGGCCGCGCCGGGACCCATCCCTGGCCAAGGGAGCGCGCGCGCTTCGGAGCCCCGAGCAGAATTTCGCCTCCCAGTCTCCTTCTGGTTTGGCTCCCGACTGCCACCTCCTCCGGCTCCCGCCGAGCTCTCCCGTCGCCGCCCCCGCCGGTCCCTCCGCGGTTCTCGCCGCAAGGCGAGTGGGCGCTCAACCGCGGCGCGCAGACCTGGCGTCCGATCCGGCGCAGCGCGGGGAGAGCGGGTCCGGCGTGGCGGACCCGGAGCCGGAGAGAGGCGGGGAGGGAAGGGGCGGGGAAGGGAGGGGGCGGTCAGTGGCTGGGTGCCGAGCCGCCGCCACCGCTGCATCACCCCGCCCTCGCCTCCCCTCGCACAGCCGGCACCGCCCCCGCCCCGAGCGCCCCCCTCGGCCCCGCGGGGGTCGCTCGCCTAAACCACAGTCTCTCCGGCTGGACCGCAGCCCCGCCCCGCGCCCGCTTTGGCTGGGGGTCCTCCCACCCAAACTCTCCCAGCTTCTTCCCAGTCTCCATCGCCGGAGACGGCCGCGGATCCCTGCACGCCGCGCGTCCCGCGGCCTCTCCGCAGACCCCCACCCTTAACTCCTTACCCCGGTTTGGGCAACGAGCTGCACCGCTCTTTGTCCCAGGCCCAGGCCATGGCGGATGGGTGGGCGCCCGGGCCCGGGGAGAAAAGGCGGAGCGCCCTGCCGGGCCGGGGACGAGGCCGGGCGACGGCGGCGACACCGGGAGTCTGCAGTGTGCGAGCGAGAAGTGAGCGCAGGGCGCCGGGCGAGCAGGTGCCCGCGGCGCGGAGAGCGCACGAGCGAGCCAGCAAGCGGAGGCCGTGAGTGACGGCGGAGGCGGCGGGGGAGGGGTGAGGTGCGGAGCGCCCAGCACGACTCAGGGCCCCGGAGCTTTCCGGGCGGGGGTGGGCTTCCCGCGGCGCAGTTGCAGGCCCCTGCGTCCCCGCTCGTTCTTCGCCGGTCTCGCCCCACCCCCCCGCGGCTTACCGGGTGTAAGGGGGATTCCCGAGGCAGCGGGGTTCCGGAGCCCATGCCCCGCACCCCCCGCATCCTCCCGCACCCCGGTGCCTTTCCCAGCCCCCGCCCCAGGCCTGCCCCCGTCCCCGCCCTCTGCGGGAGTGCGGTCGGTCCCCGAAGGGAAACGTGCGGCGGGCTTGCCGTTCCGATGGGCACGCAGTCGTAGAGGCGGGCCGCGCAGCTCGGCCGGAGTCCCGCCTGCGTCCACTCCCCATGGGAGTCCTCAGCCGGTGCGTTTTCGTAGCTCTGTCCTTGATCCCCCTGTGCCTGAGCTCTCAGCGCTGACCCCAGGCCGGCGTGAAAAGACCCCCCCCCCCCCGCCCCCCACCGCGAGTGGATTCGCGTACCTCTTCGACCGGCTCTCCAGCCTTCCCCAGGCGCCGCGGGAGGGCCCCTGAGAGCCAGTCCAGGAGGAGGGAGCCTGAGGGCAGACCCTTCCCCGAGCCCACCCGGGGTTGGCGGCCCTGGCGCAGCCTCAGAGCGCACGCGGCCGCAGGTCCCGTCAGCTTTGTCCTCACGCGGGGGACGGCCCTGGACAGCGCCCCGGGGCCTCCCAAGCCTGCGTTTCCTTTTCCAACCTGTGGCCCAGAAGTTGCCCTCATCCCCGGCTGGCTGCTGAGCCCCGTTTGCCCAGGTCTCCGTCCCCCGCGGGGCGGAATGTCTAGGCCTTCAGGGCCCAAGGGCCTGGCCAGGGGCCGGCTTTCAGTTCATCCCTCTCCGTGGCGGACTGCAAGGCCTGCTGGGACACATTGCTCTCCTCTGCTTAGGGGAGAGCTTTGCCGTGTGCCGCCCAGACTCAGGTCCTGGGGGATTCTAGCTGGTCACACAGGGGCCGGATGCAAGGACAAGCCGGCACGGGGGTCTCCGGCCCTGACCCGGAGCTGAGCCAGGGCAGGCGGGGCCCGATGGGGGCACGGGCGGGATTCCGGCACGAGGGGGCGTCACGCCCCATGTCCCTCTGAGGCCTGCGCACCCTCCAGGGCCGCGCGCCTGCGTGGGGTGGGGTGGGGTGTCTGTCCCCCGTGGCGTGAGTGCGTGTTATTTTGAAGAGGGTTCACGGGTGTGCCTCTCCCCGCGCTAGCTCTCAGCATGGCCGCCGAGTGAAGCTTCTCGCACGGAGGTCAGATCCATCCTCCTCTGCTGGGGACCCCGCACCGCTGGCCCCGCACAGCTCCCCCACTCAGGACAAACGCCAGTGGCCTTGCACGGCAGACAAGGTCAAAGCCTCTGCCTTCCCCTCCCCCGCCCGGCCCTCCCCTGTGTCCTCTGTCCTCTCGGCGCCCACCCTTCTCCGGCCGCCCTGGCTGCCCCCTGCCGGGCGTGGCACCAGGTGTCCCCCCGGCCCAGGACCTCTGCAGCAGTGGCCGTGCCACCTCGCCAGCTGCTCCGGCCTGGACCTCCCGCTCCGTCCTGTTCCTCAGCGAGGCCCCCGGGACCACCCGTCTGCCCGTGCAGCCCCCGCCCCCGCCCTGGCAGCCCCTAACCCTGCAGCCCCCGCCCACCGCCCTTTCCCCCCAGCCCCGCGCCTTAGCGCTCACTGACTTTCAGTGCGAGAACATCCTTCTGTGCCGGCCTCCCTGTTTGTGGGCTGGGCTCTTCGAGGACTTTGCTCTCCGCTGCCTCTCCTGCATGTAGGACGGGCCACGCACAGACTAGGAACTTCAGTAAACATTTGCGGAGGGAAGGAAGGAGCTCACGTAACCCCCACGACAGCCCTGTGGGGTAGGCGCAGGGATTTCCCCACTTTAGAGCCGAGGTGGCTGAAGCTCGGAGAGCGTGCTCGAGGTCACAGCTGGTAAGCCGCCACGCAGGCCTGCCTTACTCTTGGGTCCTGCTCTTAACCCGAACACCCACGTTCTCCCGACTGCAGGCGAGGCTCTGGTCCCTGGGTCCGGAGCGGGTGCAGAGAGCGAGGCCGCCCCCCACTTGGCGGACGGCAGGCTGCTGCAGCCCGGGCTGGCCTCTGGCCTTGGAGAGTCTGCCCTGCTTGTTCGCTGGTGCCCGGCAGCTCTGTAGGGACAGGGTCTGTTTACTCTTCCGTTCCCCCAGGGGACTGTGAGGGCAGCAGCTGCTCCGGATTTCTTTCCTGTGCCTTTAACTCCCCCTGGGCCTGATCCACGTTTAGGGCTCACTGAGCCAGAGCACTTGGGATAGGGGGGGCCTGTTAGCAAAGGGCACTTGCCTCTGTTCCTGGGGTTCCTCGGCGGGTGGGGTGGGGACTTCAGCTGCTTTGACCCTGCCCTGTGTGCAGCTTGAGGATCAGCGAGCTGAAACCCAGCTGCAGTCCCTGCCTGTCCTTGGCAATGCCTGGCCGGCCCCCTCTGCGGGGCCTGTGCCCTGGCGGCGTGCGGGCTCGCAGCAGCCGTCCGTGACGGCCTCCCCGGAGGCATGCTTCTCTCTGGGGCCACAGCCGCTCGGCCGCGTACCCACTGCCTGGGCCCCCTGGGCTCCCCCACCAGGGGCCTGTTTGGAGCCCCCAGGCCCTAGTGTTCAGCAGAGGTAGTTCAGACAAACCTTTGGGCTACAAGGCTTCCCCTCCCCCTCTCCACCCGCAGACTCCGAAATGCCTGTGGGGTCACTGTGCCCAGGAACAGGGCGCGGGGGGGAGCCTCTGTCCCGTGGTCGGGGCTGCAGGCGGCCTGCCCCCGGCCCCCTGGCTCTTGCCCGCCCGCTGTTCACCCGCGCGGCCGTGACAGCTGGGCCCCTCGTTCTGTGGACGGTCCACTGGCCAAAGGCGCGTCCAGAAGCGCCGCTTAGAAAGACGGCCCGGGCTCTTGAGAGGGTGCCTTGAGTCACGGCCCTCGAGCGTGTCGTCCTGGAACTCACTCTCAGTGTGTTTCCTGCGACGCCAAGGCCGCCTCGGTGGGCCAGTTCCGACACCCTTTCCGCGGCGACCTTTGCTGTCCTCTCCGTACCGTGCCCGGCGACATTGATTTGGGGTAATGTATTTTGGTTTGAAGAGGCAACCCATCCATAAACTTTTCTGTCAATAATCCCGGCACACTCTGCGTCCCTGGCAGCTTCAAGGAAAATACCAGACTTAGGGGGTCTTTTATTTTTGGTCAATTTAGTTGGTCATTCACTGGCCACCAGTGTCAGGGCATGAAGGCCTGAAGTTGGGGCCCCAGGAAGACTCCCCTCCAAGGGCACACGCCAGGTCAGCTGCTCCAGGTCGGGGGCTTGGGGGGTGGCAGAGGCGCGGCCCTGTCTGTGCCCTGGGTGATGGGGATGGAACTGAGGGCTGAACATCCCAAAGGTGTGAGACAGGCAAGTGGAAAAGCTCACAGATTGGGCCGGCCCATCAGGGAGGCTGGCCACTGCGCGTGCGCCCCACACAGCAGGCCCCGGGCGGTGGTCAGCCTGTGCCGGCGGCAGCAGCTCGGACCCTAAGTCGTCCCGCCCCAGGGTCTGCCCGTCAGCACTGCGCGGCGTCACCAGGCTGGGTCGCCCCAGCCTGGGGCTGTTTGTTTGCTTGGGAGAGACAGGACTGATCGGGCTGGGGACCGTGTGCAGAGGGGGAGGCACTCCTGGCAGCTCCCGTTCTGCCTGGAACGTTCATTCACCCCGAGAGCCCGGCCGTTCATTGGCCAGAGCACACCCGCGGCACCGATCAGGGCACCCGGT